AGGGAACGTACAGAGCTTCTGGATAATTTAGGCTTATCAAGCCCTGATATCCCTTGTAAGCACCTGACCTACTGGATCCATTATTGTGTCCCTGACCACTATATTTTTGAATATCCATACATAGCCTTAAAATCACATTAGTGATAAGTTTAGCTATATCAAATCCTTTCTTCGTCTCAAAAGTGTCAACACATTGTTCTTTAATTTTTCAGCAATTAATTTCTCTTTCATAGAGGAGAAAACGAATGGCAAAGGTTATCCGCTCAGTATGAGATACATTAGGGGTACCATCAACTATGGTTTTGAAGTAGAAACCATCCTTAATTTTTTCGACAGCTGCACTTTGTATAACACCTTATTCTTTGGGGAACTCATTTTGAGACGACGGAAAAAAATAATGGGCACTCATTGTGGAGCCTTCTTGTTGATGTAGTCATTATAATTATTGTATACATTTTCTAATGGGATGTTACAAATTATTTTAATAGTTATATAAAAAATTAAAATTGATATTGAGAAAAGTTTATAATGAGCTACCTAAAAAAGCTTCTTGTCACAGAGAAACCGCTATTGAAGAAATAGGAATATTTTTTTTTATGATTTTTTCCTTTTGTTATAGTGTTTACGGCTTGCATCAATCAAATTACTGTGTCTTCCGAACAGCTGACTCATGCGAACAATAATGTCCACAATTTTCAAAAATATATAAATTACCATTTCTTTAATATAAATTAAAATAAAAATAAACATACAAAATTACAATGGAAGAGTTCTTAAACTTAAAAAGTAAAACATGTTAAATAATTCATTAAATTTAAACATGTAACAATTTTTTTATCAAAAAGCAACAAGTAATTGCAAATTTTGACTAGTTCAATATTTATGTTGCTAAAAAGTGTAAAAATGTTATAATAAGAAAGAAATAAGTTAAAATCATCAGCAAACATAACTGTCATTAGGTTAGAAGATTTTGATAGATTATTAAAATATATATAAGAAATAGGAGAGGTCCTATTATGGATCCTTGAGGAACTCCACATGAAGTATTTAACAAACTAGATCATATGTTATCATCAGCATAAACAAATTGTATTCAATTATTTAAACAACTTTTTAGCCAAACTAATATATTTCCAGTAATTTCGTACCACTCCAACTTTTATTAAAAGAATTACGTGATCAATTATATCTAAAGCTTTCGTCAAGTCAATTAAAACATCTAAAGTTAATTCCCTAAAGTTAAATTCCTTAGAAGCCATGAAAACAGTCACATTCAAAATTTCACGAAGAATTGTCAGCCGTTTAGCTGTCTCAGAGTTTATTTACTTATGGAGCTCTAAATATTTACCAGTGAAGCTGGAAAGACGAATGTAGGACTCTTTCCAATCATTGTAGAACCTTTAGTGCAATGGGCTGCATTTATGCTGCTTCACATGACTTATGAGTTTCCTCCGTTGATCTCTAGCTCCTCAGTTTCAACGAAGAGGGGACAATTAGCCGCTTTTAAATACTGCTTTTGTGCTGGAGATCTCTTTAAAATAATTACATCTTGATTTTTTTGACTCAAAACAACTGCCCACAAAGAAGAGTTAACATTAATTATTACCAAGTTAAGTTGAACCTTGCATTCTCCACTGTTAGATAAAATTCCTTTTTTTTATTGACTCTAATGATTCACTTTGAAATTTATTAAGCTGAACTTGAGGGAAATTGTTTAATCCCCCACTGATCCAAAGTCCTTCTAATAACATATTGAGTGCAGAAATTACCCATATTGAGTACAGCCAAAAGGCAAAAACTCATATATTTGATAACTGGCCGGGTTCTGGTAGAGTCAAGGCCGCTTATATGTCTGAAAAATGCAATTCTAAGATTCTCTCTTTTGCCTCAACAGTCAAATACTACTTAAAAAAAACAGTAATTTTATTGTGAAATCGACCACAACTGTCTCGTTTGCTTCAACTTCTTCAACAACCGTATAGTTAAAGAAGTTGAACCAAACCCATGGAACGCACTACCTATTGAAGATTTCAGTGCTATCTGTATCAACTTCATCAAAGCAAAACTTGATGAGTTACCATTATTATTACCACAGCACATAATCTTCCTTACAATAGAACATGAGCTAGCATTGCTAAATGTTCGGCTTAAGGAACACGCCCTCTTCTGTCTAATTGTACAATAGCTAAATCCTATTTTTTTTCGTAAAAATTAGTTTATTACTAATTATAAGAATAGAATTTAAAACTTAAATTATTTTTTTCATGTGCAAATTTATTCCAAATACTAAAATTTCAATCTCAAATACAAAAACTAAGCAGATTTCAGATTGTCAGTCATTAAAATGTTTTATATTTATTCTATAAAAAAAACAAAAACATATTGTCCGGCGCCCCTTCAAGCTTTGCGCCCGGGTCAATTTGCCCCCTTTGCCCCTCCCTCTCGAAGGCCCTGTATATATATATATATATATATATATATATATATATATATAAATATATATATATATATATAAATATATATATATATATATATATATATATATATATATATATATATATATATATATATAAATTACAAATTAGTAGAAAATCACTTAGCAAAATTTTTACTCATTTAACACTGTGTTTCATCAATAAAGACTCATCAGAAAATCTGATGAGTCTTTATTGATGAAACACAGTGTTAAATGAGTAAAAATTTTGCTAAGTGATTTTCTACTAATTTGTAATTTATATATATATATATATATATATATATATATATATATATATATATATATATATATATATATATATATATATATATATATATATATATATATATATACAGGGACTACTAAAATACCGGGACGCGCAACTTCGATTTCATGCGATTTTGACGAGAGGGCTGAAAGTTGAATATGTTCGAAAAATTTTTGAAGTTTAACACTTAAATGATTTTGATACTAATATTAACAGTTATTCAGAGTTATTTTCATTAAATAACATCTTAATCTCATAACTCATTAAATTTATGACAATTTATAGTAAAAAAGGAATCTTATTTTTATAAGGCCTGGATTAGTAACTTTAATCTTTAATTAGTAAATAAATTGATCTTATGTAGTTAATCAAAGGATCTTATGCAGTAAATAAAGGGATCTTATAAAATACTTAAATTAGCAACTTTAAACTTTAATTACTTTAGTCCTTTAAACTTTAATTACTTTAGTCCTTTCTTTCCAATCGTAGTATAAAAGTTGTCCTCGATGGACAACACTCTTCTTCACATCCTGTAACTTCAGGGGTTCCTCAAGGTTCAATCCTTGGCCCTATACTCTTTTTAATTTACATTAACGATCTTCCAGATATTCTCACATCTAAGGTGGCATTATTCGCTGACGACACTACCATTTACTCTTGTCATGATAAGAAGCCTACACTCTCTGATTGCTTGGAGGGAGTATCTGAGCTTGAAAAGGACCTCACTTCTGCTACAGCATGGGGCTCACAGTGGCTGGTGAACTTTAATTCAGATAAAACTCAATTTTATTCGGCCAATCGTTATCGTAATAATTTAGATCTTCCTATATTTATGAATGGTAATGTACTAGATGAGTCATCTACCATTCATCTTCTAGGATTAACTCTTACTTCTGATCTTTCTTTTAAACCGTATATCAAATCCATTGCAAAATTAGCATCTGCTAAGGTTGCATCTCTTTATCGAGCTCGACACTTTCTTACTCCAGATTCTATTCTCTATCTCTATAAATCTCAAATCCGTCCCTGTATGGAATACTGTTGCCACATCTGGGGCGGATCTTCTAATGATGCTCTTTCTCTTTTAGACAAGGTGCAAAAACGAATTGTAAACATAGTTGGACCTGCTCTGGCAGCCAATCTCCAACCTTTGTCACATCGTCGTAATGTTGCTTCTCTTTCTCTTTTCTACAAATACTATAATGGGCACTGCTCTAAAGAGCTAGCGTCCCTTGTGCCATCTACTAAAATTCATTCTCGTGTTACTCGCCATTCAATTAAGTCTCATCCTTTTTCTGTGACTGTTCCTAAGTGCTTCAAAAACTCTAATTCTTCTAGTTTTTTTCCTCGAACATCAGTTCTTTGGAATTCGCTTCCTTCATCTTGCTTTCCTGATTCATATAATTTGCAATCTTTTAAGTCATCAGTCAATCGTTATCTTGCTCTAAAGATTTAGTCTTTTCTCTTCCAATAACTTCCAACTCTTATAGTGGTTGCTTGCAGCCTTGTTGGAAGTGAAGATGTAAATTAGAAAATTAGAAAAAAAAAATCATTTCATTAAAAATTAAAATTAATTCATAATTTATTAATCTTCAAACATTAATAAATATAAGAATTTTAAATAATAAATATAATTATAAATATAAGAATTTTCAAAATTCAACAACAAAAAAAGTAGATTATCTAAAATGATCTAACTTCTGTGTTAAAACAATGTTAACAATTTTAAAAAATAACCATTTTAACCACATATTGCGTGTTGTTTGATTTATTTGCAAAACTTTTTAACTTTGCGGTCTTCAATATGTAAAGAAACTTTGTCTGACGATTCATTCAATTTCGTTAGACCCTTGAAAAAACAATTCAAAATGGTGGAAACAACTGCGTTGATTGGTAATGCTTGTAAATCGAAAGGTAAAGCTGTATAGAAATATATAAAAAGTTTAGAAATGTATCTAACGCACTGGAACCGCATCTCTGCATTAGGTAATAAAATAAAAAGAGAATACGCATATCTGACATATTGAAATAGATCCTCAGTAGGGTGACATAGTCGACCACGAGATACTAACTCAGTAAACTCAGATGCATTGGTAACAAAGGTACCAGATACGGATATACTTGGTAAAAATTTATGCTGGACATAACCCGAAATGTAATATAGGGCAGCATTTTCTTCTTCGGAAATTGCATCAATTGAAGAGACAGATGTATCAAGATAACTAATGTCATCCTCATTCAGATCTAATTGACAACACTCTGATTGAATAATTGAGCATTGAGAAATAGGTACACCCATAGCATCCAATTTACTAAACAACTTCAGGCATTGTAAACGAAGACTATTTTTAACTTCTTCAACCGAAACATGATAACTGCCTCCACAAAGTTGCCTGGCATAAAAAAATCTAAACTATATATAATTTGAATTTTATTTAAAGATACATACGAAAATTAGTGTTCTTAAATGCAGGGTCAGAATGGTGAGGGGGGTTGGGAGGGATTTACCCCAGAGCCCCTGCCACAAAAAATACATAAAAATTAGTAATAATTATTGCGAAAAAACAATACAATAAATATGGTAGTTATTTCTATGAAATATCATTTTTGATGTTACAAAATACCAGTTATTTCTAAATAAAAGTTATTTCTACTTATAACCAAAAACTATGTGATTAAGGATTTAATTTATTTTTGCCCCCGGGCCCTTCAGTGCCAGTCTGACCCTGCTTAAATGTAATAACAACAATATCAATCTGATCATAAATAGGTAAGGAATTATTTAACTACCTGTATATTCCAAATTCTCCTTCTAACCGATCTGTCTGAAATATTTCAGGAAGAACATATTGATGATCTTCATTCAGCAATTTTCAGATTAAATCTACAATTCCGTAAAGCATATTCGACAAAGAAATTTTCGTTTCACTAGTGAATGATTTGTTCCGCTTCCAGCCCTTTCCTCCTGGCATTTTTGCAACAGCTTCAGCAAATGTCAAAATCTCTTGAAGTCGTTTATCATTTACATTTTTGTATGAAGCTCTATTTGGATCATTTAAACGTATGTCCATACCTTCTTGTTTAATATTAAGGTAATTCCATATCAATAATATTCTTTCAAGAAACTCGCTTGTCTCTTTAAAATCACAAATTTTAAGGGCTGCTACAGTCTTCTCATTAACAACAGCACACATATGGGTGACATTTTGTCGATCAATTACACCTGGATGAATAGCTTTGTATGAAAGATTTGTCAACTTGATAACATTATTTTTTTCTTTTTCATATAAACTTACCAAATCTTTCCAATACCCTTTAAATAATTGACTATTTAGTGTCAGATGAATTGTTCCAGTTTTTTCTGTAAGCCAGTTATTTCGAATTGATTTAAACAAGTGCACTGGATCATGAAGCATTATTATACTTTGGTTGCAAATATTACCAAGCCATGGCTCATTTAAACTTAAAGCAAAAAATTGATATATGCTACGATTTGTGGGAAGATTGTCTGAAATAAGGCATAAAATTTCTCCACCAAGTTTAGCAACTGTATTAAAACCGTGTTTGAAACATTAACTATTTCGGAAAAACGTTGCTGCCTGCTATTTGATGAAATGTATGTGAAACCAAGTATACGTTTTCGTGGATGTCATTTAATTGGTTATAGTGAAGACAATCCTGCTGAAATTATATATATATATATATAAATATATATATATATATATATATATATATATATATATATATATATATATATATATATATATATATATATATATATATATATATATATATATATATATATATATATATATATATATATATATATATATATATATATATATATATATATATATATATATATATATATATATATATATATATATATATATATATATATATAGGAGAGTGTGTATGAAAGAGCCAGTTTTAAAAAGGTATGAAAAAAGTCAATTTTGATTAAAAATTTTTTATTTTTTTAATTAATTAGTTACTTTATTGGGTAATATTATAAAATAAAAACAAGTTGGATAACAATGCTAATAATCTATCATACACCTATTTAAAAAAAAAAAAAGAGAAATCAGCTCTTTCATAACATCTTGTCAATGAAAGAGGCCACTCTATGCTATGAAAGAGCCGTAACGTTTTTTCTAAAACTAACAAGTCTTTTAAGAATAATAAACTGTTAACTAGACTTCTAAAAATCAGATTGTACTTTAAGTTATATAATTCTATGATAATGAATGATAAAACAAATGATAAAACAGCTTTAATAATAATTTCACTATATTACTAAAAAGTGTCCTCATATAACGTCAACGTCGTTTTTCGTAGTTAATAATTTTGAAAACATGTCTTTTTTTAAAGATAAAAAATATTAAATGAGAATGAAAAAAAAAAGAAAGTATTAATATACATAAAAATTTATAAATACTAGTCAAAAGAACAAATTGTTATGACTATATCTTGACGATAAATGTTATCTACGAATCATAGTGATTATAAAACATTTCACATATATTTACTATGCTAGTGATATATGAGTGAATACAATAATACAAAATAAGTTTTGATAAAATGTGTGGAAGTTTGAAACAAAAATAAATTTTAATTATTTAAGCTTTAGTAAAAACTTAATTATTATTTGAATATATTTTTTAAGATTCAAACGCACCTACGTTTTACGCATTCAGGAAAAGTCATTCAAACAATTAGTTTCAATAGAATATGATCAATGAAGCATTACAAAAAACAATGAAGTCGTTACAGGGTTTATGCGAAATATAAAACATTTTTTAAGAAAATATAAAACATTTTTTAAAAAAATATAAAACATTTTTTAAGAAAATATAAAACATTTTTTAAGAAAATATAAAACATTTTTTAAGGAAATATAAAACATTTTTAAAGAAAATATAAAACATTTTTTAAGAAAATATAAAACATTTTTTAAGAAAATATAAAACATTTTTTAAGAAAATATAAAACATTGTAGTTGAATCAATAGTGCAATTATGATACATAAAGTTATTCATAAACTTCTAAAGAATAAAGAGTATCTTTTATATAATTATAACTCATTATACTTAAAGATATAATATAAAAAGCAAAGTATCCACTTTAGTAAAATTCTTGTCTTGCTATGCCTTTCAAAACCCATCTTCTCATATTATAATACCAACCACAAAAATCAACGCCAATTGTCGGTATAAGCGAATTTAAAGTAGCCTTAACTTCATTGTTAGTTTTTGGAAACGGCCTTATAGAAGTGTAATTAGCTTTAAGACAACTAAAGTATTCCTCAATCGGGTTCAATTGTGGTGAATAAGGTGGCAAAAAGTAAACTGAAACACTGGATTGGCTGAGCAAATTGATTACATCTCTTCTACGGTGAAATGCACAATTATCCAATACTAGAACATTTTGTATTCTTTATAGAATAACCATACTGTTTAGAAGTATGTAAATTAAAGCCTGTTTTATCTAGAAACACTTTTTTGTCAGGAATCGAATTAATAGTCCTGCAAAAACTTTGTCTTAAATCAATGTTTTGCGGCGAGTTCCTTTCTTTTGGTACTAATGTAAGTCGTTTTCTAGTGAACTCCATCGACTTCAAATATTTAGATATTGTTGGTATAGATGCATTAATATTCCTTTCAACGAGAATGTTTCTCAATGATGCTAACGTATGAGATGGATCATGCTCAATTAACATTCGAATTTCAGATTTAAGTGTCTCGTCATAAGAGCTGCGCCTTCCTTTTTTTACTGATGCGATTTCATCATCACTAAGTCCTTTACAGATTTTATCAGAAATAAAACGTGTTGCAGAAACTGATATTTCAACTTCTTCCGCAATTTCTTTTAACTTCATTTCTTTAAGAATTGACTTTCTTATTGTTTTTACAATATCCTTTGCAATAAGTGTTCTTTTTTTTCTTTGTCTCTTGTTTTCCATTTATTGATTAAAATAACAAAATAAAGCTTGAATAATATATTTTTACAGATCTCTTTCTTTGTTGTGAATAAACCACATAAATTCCATAGTATAGAGTAATTACGTAATTGAATTTTTTATGTTAAAATATTAAACATTTAATTAACTAATTAAATGTTTTATATTAGCATAAACTTTGTTTTATATTTTCTTTAAAAATGTTTTATATTTTCTTAAAAAATGTTTTATATTTTTTTAAAAAATGTTTTATATTTTCTTAAAAAATGTTTTATATTTTCTTAAAAAATGTTTTATATTTTCTTAAAAAATGTTTTATATTTTCTTAAAATATGTTTTATATTTTCTTAAAAAATGTTTTATATTTCGCATAAACCCTGTAATGCGCAAAACAGTTATTTAATTTAAAAAAAAAGCTAAATAGAAAAGGCCGGTGTAGTATGAGATTTTTACTCCCATTTTTTTTACTCCCCTATAAAAATTTGATATGAAATTTGTGCCGCGGAGTAAAAAATGCGTATGAAATTTTTACTCCCTTTACGAGATTTTTACTCTCATTAGATATTTTTACCGTTATGTTAATATAGTGCTTAATTAATATATTTAATAAAAGTTAAACTTTTAAAAATAACTTTTTTTAACTTAATTTAGTTTTTACATTTTAGTGGGATTAAAATTTCTTATATTATTTTAAATAAACGGTGAAAATATAAATTTTATAGATAATCTTTTTTAAACTTAAAGATCATAGAATATGCAAGTACTTGTTTGATCAAAATGTGTATATTTTTTATTAAAAAAATGAAGGGGAATATCCAAAATTGTTTAATTTTACTATTAGGCTATCGCATTTGTTGCAAACTTGTTAGAAAAGGAGTTTTCTAAACAATAAGTTTACCTTGCCAACCTGCAGAATCTAAAAATCGCAGCTTTTTATTTCTTTCTGACTTTTTTATTTAACGATTCGCATCGACAAAAAAAAAATTTCTCGTAGGTTACCCTATGTATCAGATAGGGTTAATTTTTCTTTTAATTAAACATATATTGTTATATGGGTTTATTTCTGGATTCTCTGCTATCGCTTTACTCTTTGGAATCAGTCAGGCGTATGAAAAAGTATTGCCACCAAATTTAAAAAGACAAACATTTTTATTCCTTCTCCTATATACCGTTGTAAATTCGCTTATTTTTACGTTTTTAAAACATTTGTTTACAGACTTAAAATAAAAATATATTTAAAAAATGTCTAAAAATTATGAAAAGAAGATGATTTATAATTTTTTTTTTTTTTATAGTTTTTTATATTTTACAACAGTACAACATTAAAGTGACTTGCAGTTGAATTGTCAAGGAATATAGCATGTTCACTAAGCTGTGTAAATGTTAAACTACATAGGTAAGTCAGCCATTTCAATTCTCTGTATTTGCTATATACTTTTATATCAATACCCATGAACGAAGCACATCCAATTATTTCTGCATCAGTTGCCCAAATTGTGTTATCACTCATACCACTTTCATTTATATACGTTATTATTGTTTGATTCATATATAAAGTCATTTCGTCATTAATATGAATACACATATGTTTAACAACTTTTTCTCTTATAATTTCATAACACATTCACAAAAATATTTTTGGTAATAACAATTCCAAATTTTTCAGAAATAGTTCTCATTTCAATAGTTCCATATTTTCCGATCTTATCATTAGAAATTTGCATATTAATTTCATCAAATGTGATTTTTTGTTCATCATTAGTTATTTTTAAATTATATAAACATAACTTTGTCAAGTTGTTCTTTGTTTTCAAAATTTGACCCTTTAGATTTTTCAAAGTGCAGTTATTTGTGCTAGAAATAGAAGTTACAATGTATGGTCCAGTCCAAGACTTTACAAGTTTATCACCTTTTCTATCATCACGTCTGCTATTTCTTAGTTACACTTTTTTATTTATGCTAATTTCATTATTTGGTGCAATTCTCTTGTCGTAATCATGTTTTTGTCTTTTTTGAGATTTTTCAATATTTTTATAAGCATCGTCAAAAATTTTATTAACGGTGAAAACCCAGTAGACTGTGCTTTCTAACTCTTAAAGAAAACAAAACACTATCAATAATGTATGGCCATTCCAGAGCAGCCTCATCAAGCACTTTTACTAATATACGTTTAATTGTTTGATTTTGTCTCTCTACTAATCCATTAGCTTGAGGATGATATGCACTCGTAATTCTTTGAATTGTTCCTGTTTTTGAGTAAAGTTCTTTAGAAATTTCATTTACAAACTCACGACTTTGGTCATTTATTTGAATTTTAAAACAGCCATGTTGACATACCTGTTTATACAAAAAAAAAGCCACAGCTTTAGCAGTTTTATCCGTAAGTGCTTCTGCTTCAACCCATTTACTGAAGTAGTCAATTAATACAACCAGATATTTGCAACCGTTAACTTCTATTAGCTGTGTTAAATCGACTCCTACCTGCTTCATATTGCCTTTAGGAATTGAATTATTTTGCTGCAATAGTTTTGATTGAAGTTTTCTAATCTTTGACTTTTGGCATTGGTCACATTTGCAAACATAAGTTGTAATATCTTTTATCATTCCATACCAGAAAAATCTATTTTGAATGTGATAGGTTGTGTTATTAATACCTATTATTAATAACACAATTATTTTGTTGTTCATCTCTACTCCAAATAACTTTTCTCTAA